ATACCATGGTGGCCATGTTTAACCTTTGTGATCAAGGTACTGAAACAGGGATTTTGCTCACTAACACTGTAACCTGCTTAATGTATAGCACTTTGTATTTAAACAAAACAAAACCAAAAAAAAAAAAAGAAAACCACAAAAAACCCCCCCCAAAAAAAAACAAAAAACCCCCCAAAAACAACTAAAAAACCAAACCATAATACTTAATAAGTATTTTTTTTAAACTTAGAAATTATATTCCCTCTATGGTTTGTTTACACACTGTTAACACTGTCCTTTTTAATACTAAAAAATACTATAATGCTTGCCTGTTTACATGAGGGTAGAGGAAAGGGTTCTTGCACTCGGTGGCCCTATTTTTCCATTCTCCAAGGCCTTACCACATACATGGTGTCATTTCTGCAAGTACCATCATCACATTTGAAGGAAGGCATTAGAATCATAGAATGGTTTGGGTTGGAAGGAGGCTTTGAAGGTCACCTACTTCCAACCCTCTTGCCATAGGCATGGACACCTTCAGCTAGGCCAGGTTGCTCAGAGCCCCATCCAACCTGGCCTTGAACATGTCCAGTGTGTTTATTCTCGTACTCATTTCAAGAATGATCTTGTATATTACATTGGTTCTCAGCCCCTTTCCAATTGTCACTTTAGTTTTGCATAAAAGGTTAAGGGTGCCTCTTCCCATTTAACCATAAAAAAGGCTGGACAGAAACACCAGTCTGAAAACTGTGGTCAGAAAAAACCAAAAATGTTGAACGCAGACCATACTACAGAGCTGCCAGCAAAACTGTTTCTTTTACCAGCTTGGAATGACTTTTATATGGGATATTTCAAGGTTTAATGTTACTTCTATTTGCAGTTAGATTACTTTGAAATAAAGCTTTAAAATTAAATGTACTGCGAGAGACACTTTAAAGATTTTATAATAGGTTCGGTAGATCATATTATAGAACCATGTCCTTTTTTAATGACTTAGCATGAATAGTAACTTTTTAGTATTTGCCTCTTGCTGTTTTACCCCATATTATGGCATTGTCTTGAAAATCCAGCAAATGTTGCTCCACTGATTTTTGTAGCACTTGGCTTTCTGCTGTTAATTTACATGAAACCAGTTGATTGCAGGAAAATAGTGATCTGACTGTCCTGAGATCAGGTTGAGAGGATTGATGATTCAAAGACAGCTTGAGACACATGTCTAAAATCCTTACTTTTGCATGTCACAGGTGAAACAGTTGTCTTGTGGTGTTTTTCTTGAACTCAGTTTATTGCCCTTTGTCCAACTTCTAATCACCAATTCAGGTATTGGGCGGGGGGAGGGGGTGGGGGAGATAAAAAGTCACTTAAACCATCTTTCTCAGGCTCAGCTTAAGTCTAACATCTCTTCTCCCTGCCTTTGTATTCTCAGTTTCCCTTGCTTTCACCAAGAGTTGTATTCAGTTCCTGCCATTTCCTTTAGTAAGGTGGCAGATCACAGAGGAGGTTGGGGTCATATGCACACTTCCTTGTCTGATGTTTTGCATTTCTCAGTGGGGCTCCCTCTGGTGCTTTGGCCTGGTCAGTGTCACTATGCATGGTGACACTGGGCCACAGTCCCTTGAGGGATGTGTCTGTTCCAGCTTGGTTCTTCTGTGGAACTCAGTTATTTCAGAGGTGTACCTGCTCTGGCAGGGCTCAGCTGTAGGCCAAAGTCATCTTAGAAGTGAATCTCCTGAGGCAGGGAGCGTGCCCTTCTGTGAGTGTGTCTATACATGTTCTCAGTGACTTCTTCAGGTGTTTTCCCAAGAGCAGCTCTTCAGTTTCTCCACCTTACCCAGGAGTATCTTCTCCATGTGTCTCCCTGCACCTCTTGCTAGCAGCTGCCACTCTTCCTTAAATATATTTAAGCAGAATCATTATGTGCACCTCTGGTTGAGATTTTTGCTTGCATTCATTTTTTGTGCACGATGAACTTTTTTGACTAGTGCAGGGCAGCCTGCAAATGCTAGCCATGTGTCACCCCTGCAGTCCCTGCCGCTGGTGGCCAGTGCAGTTGAACATAGCAAGCCAAGATATACAGATACAGCTTCTGTCAAGCTTCTGATCTTTGCTAATGGAGTGGTCTTGTTCAAGGTATGGAAAATTATTTCTTATTTGTGGGGAGGAGGGAAGCAATCCATATATATATATATATATATGTATATATATAATATGACTGCATATGTATATGATGAATTTCATTAATCTTCCCATATGCTTCATTACCTTTGATGATGTGGCTGTTGGCTGTAGTAAAATGAGCGTCTTCTGAAAACCAGAAATTTTGTATACCCAGGTGGCTTTCAGACTTTCCTGCTGCTTCAAAGCCATTGTCCTAGTAGTGGTAAGAAGACTTAATGATACTACAGCTAAGCTCCTTTTCATTCCATTTTGTAACTATGATGTTAATTACCATGGAATCTGTGTAACTGCCATTCTGAAAAATTCAACTGTTGGCAGGGTTAAAATCTGCTTAGGTGTATACCGGACCCTTTTGAGAGAGAAAGTTCCTATTTCACACACCAGTGTTGGTTTGCAGAGTGCTTTTTTGTTGTTTCATTTTTTAAACTTTCCTTGTTAGTTTTATGGGTGAGGAGATAGACCCTAGGAGATATTGTCAGTACAGTTTTTGGTCAGCTTTTTTCATCTGAGGTGTGTCTAAGCTTGAGAAACTGTCCTGTGTCATAAGCAAGGCAGATGATCAAAGGCTGATGTGTTGAGTGTTCCAGTATAATTGATTGATCGTGAAAGAATGTAAGCATATCAGGGTTTGTAATCTCAATACTTTTGCCTGGGTGCCAGCAAGATGACTGTCTCTGAACTATGAGGGCGCACAGCAGTACGTTGTGTGTTTTGCTATTACAGAATTAGGACCTTTCTCAAAGCAACAAAGGAAAGCTGGGTTTTTTTTGTCTTTTAAATGCTTCATTGGGTAGCTTGGCTTATTTAGCTATTAGCTGTAAACTGTCAGTGGCCTAGGGGAAGATGCTGGAAAAGATGGTGTATTTTTAATGTGTTTAAATTGCAAGTTCTGATTTTTGCTTGAAGCCTGTGTCTGTCGATTGCTGCTCCTTTTTTTGATTCATGGGATTCCATATTTCTTTCAGAAATGTAACTGTTTATGCAAGTCAAGTGAATCTTCCTTAATGAGTTATAAGTTTTTATTCTAAACAAGTCATTTATAATAGTAACTTTGCATATCTTGATATTTTGTGAGATGTTATGCCTGTATTGCAGAGGTTGGATAGTTTTGTCTATAAATATTGCTGTCCTAATTGTACAGCATGATTTTAATTTAATTTTACTGTTCAATATTTTCTTCTTATAGAAGAGTCCCATGCCCCTTTTTTTCTATAACATGTTTTAATAAATGTTATCTGTCAACTTTGTAAATGTTTTCTTAAGCTTGAATGAAAGGAATGCATGTCTAGTACTAGTATTTAATATTTCACTTTGCCAAAATAAGTGCTCAAAAGTACAAATTCCAAAAGTTGTTGATACATAACTTTATTAAATATATTAAAAAGTGTATCTAGTAATGTGTCTTCTTGAAATAATGATAACATCAGCCTAGTCTAAGAAAACATTAAACTGAAACCTGATTTTTATGACACAGTAAGTTTGATGAATTTGTGGAATTAAACCCATTTTTTTGCTGCTTTATGTAATTGGCTTCCATGCTAGTTCAAATTTGTGAAACAGGTTTTGCTGTAACTGTTTTTTTGCAGAATGGTGATCTCTGAAGTTATAATAGAGAATGTACATGCTGATAGGAAAATTCCAGAACACTCACTTCATAGTAGCAGCAATCACATGTCCAAAAGGCCTCTTGGTACAGTTGAAGTAGGTACAGATAACATAGATTTTTTTTTTCTTGCCTAAGTATGAAGGAAATTTCATGCTGTGAAAAGGACTAAAGATAAAGTTTCCCTTACCTTCCTGTGAGGTTTCTTTCTCTCCTTGACTAAATTTAGGTACTTATACTGAACACTTGATTTTGTCCAGCCTCCATCTGCTCAGTCCTTGCAGAACTGTCCCAGCCACTGCTTACTACGTAAGCAAAAAATGAGCTCACTCTCAGTGAAAGCATGTTCAGTCAATACCCAGAGAAGTCAATATTTATGTAAGACATTCAGTCTTCAGCAAATTCAAATGGAATATAGTACAAGAAAATTAATTTTCTATTTTGGTTACATTTACTGAACATGGAATAATGAGCCCAATGCTTTTTGCCTGTTCAGAATTAGTTGTTTGAGTGCTTTTTCTCTGAGTGAACAAATAGAGTTTGTGTTTGTGCTCTTTAACTCTGTTATTTGTGTCCTGGCCAGGATGCTTCCCAGACCACTGCTTTATTTGAACAGCATTCAATGTCTAATGTATGAAGATTCTGTTCTGTGTCTTAAAGGGAGAGAAAGACATACCTCCAGAAGACAGAATGTGGTGTCTGGTTAGACCGGGTGGATATCGCAGCAGGACCTACTGGCACCAGTCACTGACTGTTTTCAAGTAGTACATGATAACCAGTACATGAACTGTGTGGTTCATAAACTGAATCGTTGCGTTACCTGACCTACAAGCAAATGCAGGATAACGCAAAAAAAAGTTAGAACATGCTTGCTGAAGTGATTTCTGTGAGTGACAAGGCCAGTATAACACAGGTGAATGTCTTAATTCTTTGCTCAATAAAGGTGTCAGTTAACAGCTGGAGTGGGGAATGTCCTTCCCCAAAAGCTCCCTCGCTGTTTCTCCGACTGCCCATCGGGGTTTGGCTCTGGGTTCTCTTCTGGAGCTGCACACGGTGAGAGTTCTCGGAAGAGCCCTGCCCACGTACGCCCCGGCTTCAGCCAATGCTCAAAGCCTTCTGCCTTCGTGAGGAGTCGCGCTGCGAGGGCAGCTCCGCCCTACTGCGGCCGGGGGGAGCGCCCGGGCTCCGCGACGAGAGCGGGGCGGGTTCCCGAGCGGCCCGGGGGCACCGCCCGCTGCCGGGGCGTCGCCAGGAAGCGGAACGGCCGCCAGCGGAATCAGTTCCGGGTGCGAGTGGCTGTGGGAGCGGGCGGGAAGCGGCGCTGGGAGCGGGCCGGGCCGGGCGGGATCCGCCATGTGAGAGCCCCAGACAGCCCCAGGTGAGCGGCGCGCGAGGGGCGCTCGGCCCCGGGGCGGCGCGGCGCTCCCCATGGGACGGGCCGTGCTCAGGAGGGGTCCCGGCGCCTGACAGGCCCCGCGGGGGCGGCGACCGCGGCCCGGCGGGCCGTGGCTCGGTTCGGCTGCCTGGAGCGGCGGCAGCGGCTTCGTCGAGGCGGCCTTCGCCCGGCCGTGCCTCGGCAGGAGCTGTCGCGTAACCTGAGTCGGTGGTTCTGGTGCAGCTTTGGCGTGCGGGGAGGGAGGGCGGACGCGACTGTGTCGGGGTCCGCTGCTAACCCGAGCGGGGCGTAAAATCCCCGGCACGGCGGACTGGAGAGGAACGAACCTGGCCCCGTTCGGGGAGGTGTTCATTGCCAGGAGCTGGGGGACCTTTCAGCTGCTGCTATTCCATCAGAGGAGGTGGAAGTTCTAGTGAAACCCCAATCTCCGTAATGCAAAGGTCTTTCCAAATCCCGGCAGGCGTGCACAGCGCGTAGAGTTGGAATTGGCTTAGAGTAAATCAGAGTTGAGAGTTAGTTTGGAACAAGCCTGAACAGTCTCAGAAACGTTAACGTGAGTGAGCCTGGTTTCCAAGGGAAAACAAAGTGCGATAGGATTAGCTGCACTGCAGTTGTTACGTGTTGCAGAATACTCAACATCTGGATCAGAATGTGCTTGTGTTTCATTGCTGGTCCAGGGACAGCTCCAAACAGTTCCACCTGTCCCGAATAGTGTGCTAGGAAAATACCACGAAAATGTGTTCTTTGCAGCTTGTAAATCTACTGCAAAAAATGTTGCTGATAGCTAGAGAACATAGTCACTTCATTACTTAAAGAAACGGAGCCAAAAAGTCAACAATTTGATGAAGAATGGCTACTATTAAAAAACAAATAACAAAACCCCACCAAAAACAAAGAAGAAAGTGGACAGATTAAAATGCACAATAGTGATGAAGTATTATCTTGATAGTAAATAAAATTGTAATATCAGGAGGTTCAAGAGTTCTCTTCCCACTCTGTGAAAGTTCCAGCTGTGTATATATCCTCACTCTCAAAATACAGGCTGGAGTTCTTTTATAATGGAAGTGGCATCTCAAAGTTGTCAGGTATTTGGAAAATGTGGCTATTTAGCATTACATAATGAGGATATTGTGAAATTTGTGCACAAAATAAAAGCTTTTGATCATTACTTGTAAGATCTTTTTGATTTGAAGTGTATGTATCATCAACATGCCCCTTTGTTTTATCTGGCAGAATATATTTGTTCATACTGGAATCATAGACACATAGAATAGTTTTATTTAGAAGGCGCCTTTTGATCCTGGCTTATCTCCAGTTTGCCTCCTGGTAACTTTTTTTTTGCCTTCAGAAATAGATGTGTGCCTGCGATTACTTTTGTGGCAATTTGATTTCTAGAGTCAATATTTAGAGATTATTTCTATTGAGGTTTCCAATTCTTAGGTGAAACTGTTTTTATGCATTGGTAGGTGTTTCATTTTTTCCTTTTCAATTACTTCCACACAGGCAAGCAGTTTGAGGGAGACAGTTAAGAGAATGAGGGATGAAAGTGTCACTTGGACTTCTTATCTGCTTTCTGTGGATACTGGCTCAAATAAAAGGGTCCTTTTTTCCTATAAAATCCTAACTATGCAGTTCCAACAATATCTCTGCTGCGCCATGCTGACCACTGAGAATGAGTTTGCAGTGTTGCTGGTACTGGCATACGTGTATGTATACATGTCCATGTATGTACATACATCTGAATAAATTGATTTTATTTTGATGCTAAAATCATCCACTCTTTGAAGTGATTTTCTGTACACATGTTGTGAATCTTGGTGAGGTAAAAAGAAATACTTTTAAATTTTTGTTACACAAATGTTTGAATTAATAAAGCTTTACTGAACTGAGTGTCAGGGGTTACTGCTTTGGTCCCCAGGCAGTTAGTGAGGTTGTGTCCCACAGCACTGCCAGAGACCTCACCTGCCAGGCAGGAGCTTTGCTTGTGGTTTCACTGCAGGTATTCAGTACTTTGGTAGAACGTAGCCTGTCTGGCTGCAGAGAAGGCATAATGATTTTCACTGGATGTTCAGTTATCTATGGATACAAGAATGTAAGAGCTAAGTTTTCTAGTAACTACAGTTCAGCCTGTATTAACTGGCTTGTGTTTCTGAGGAAGTGGGCATTTCCTGCATTTTTAGGAGGTAAAGTAATAAAGTTTTAAATTGTTGTGTAGTTGTCACCTAACAGATTTTGTATTGTAGTCCAAACCAGACATGAAGCAGACTGACTTTCAAGGCTGTTTTCCAATTAATAATATGCCTCATGCACCTTTTGTGTGTGCTTTCCTACAGATAATTTGGCCAAACTTCCTCTATCTTCGTTGGTTCCAATGGGCATTTTGGAGGAAGTGATGAATTAATGCAAAAACCAATTCTACATATTTGAGTAGTGCTGCTTGTATTATTAGAAATTTGTTGTACTTCACTTGTTGGGAGATTATGTAGGTTTCTTACCCTCCTTTAGTTGTGGAGTTTTTTACTGGCTGCAAAATTAAGCTGGTTTTTATCAGTGGGGTAGCTTACCCTACTTTGGGGATGGAGTTTCAGTACAGCAACAATGCTGTGTGGCATATTATTTAAAGGCCATCCAAGAGCACTATATGTTGACTTTTAAGGGATAATTAGTATTTCACTGTTATTAGAAGTATAAACTGGTAGAATGTTCTATAATCAGTCACTCCCCTATTTTCAAAGATTATTTTAAGAGTGTCTTGGAGACCCCCCCTAGCCTGTGACATACTTGATGGCAGTTTTCCTTTGATACAGCTAGTGTTAATTAGTGTGGCTGTTGTAAATCTGAAGAGTGATGCAAATGCATCACTGAAAAGGGTAAGAGTGATAAAGACTTTTGCCCAAAAACTTCCATGATCATAGCTGATAAGGTAACATTCCTAGGTTAAAAGTCTCTTGAATTATATTTGCAGCGATGTCCTGAGTTCTCACACAGATGGTGCAAATACTGTGTCCTACAAAATGCAAGGGAGGAGTGCACTGATTTATACAAATACCTGCTTATTTTCTTGCCCTTTCTCTGTATTCTGAGCATAATGTATGGAGGGAGTATCACAGAATTATTGAAGTTGAAAAGACCTCCAAGATCATCGAGTCCAATCTTTAACTGATCACCGCATTGTCAATCAAACCAGAGCAGTGAGTGCCACATCCAGTCATTTCTTTAACACCTCCAGGGATGGTGACTCCACCACCTCCCTGGGCAGCCTGTTCCAATGCTTAACAACCCTTTCAGTGAAGAAATTCTTCCCAGTTTCCAACCTGAATCTCCCTTGCTGCAGGTTGAGGCTGTTTCCTCTTGTCCTGCCGCTTGTTGCTGGGTAGAGGCATTTTTGGTGTCATAGAGTACTTTCGTTTGGTTTTGTCTTCACTTTCATTATGACCCTCCTGGCTTTACTGTGCATTCCTGTTCTCAGATGTGCTACAACAGTAATGGTTTGTAATGTGGGTTTTTTTCTCAAGGATTCCTTGTTGCTGAGCTAATCTAAGAAAATGCCAGGGATCTTTTCTTACCTTAGTGTGAGTTGAAATGAGTATAATTTGTGTCATTCACCTGCCTGTGGGAATGGTGAATCATACTTCAGTGAGTGAAGGAAATGAAACAGGTGCAGACTTCGGAGCAGAAATTAATACTATGTTGGCAGACACACAGCTTCGTGTTATAGTTATATGATGCTTCTCCGCTGCTACTGTATGATGTCAGTAAAATTAAATACCTAATGTGGTTTGTCAACATCTATTCTTGTTTTTCAAATTAAATAAGCGTTTTCATAGAACATAATTTTTAAAGGAAATTTCTTTTGAAATGTAATAAGAAATGTTATCCTTCTGATGTTCAGAGGTACTTCAATGAACACTTTCCTTTGAAGACATAGGGCAGCAATCCACTACTACTAAAGCCATTTTATGGGCTATATTTGCTGTATAAAACCCTGATGAATAAATGCAGTGCAGATGCAAAGAGAATTTATGTGATTCTTTTGAGTGTGACTGCATCATCTGCTACAAAATAGACATGAGACTCAACACAGAGCCCTTCTAGGACTTAGTGAACCTGGTGTGCAGTTTTGACCTGTGCCTTCGGCCAGTTTCTTGGATACATAATAGCTATGAAAACCTTAAACACTTTGACCTACTTTTGAGGAAAGGTTAAGAGAGGACCTAATTGTAGACAGGTGCCAGACTCAAATTTTGCAGGGCTATGCCCTAACTTTACACTAACTCCCAGGCAGGGATGAAAGCTAGAGCAAGATAAAATGCATTACTTTTTAACAATGAGTGTACCTGACACTGCTGTGACTTTACAAAATCACAGAATATTCTCATTTGGAAGGGACCCAAAAGGATAATTGAATCCAGCTCAAGTTGTCTGAGTTGTCACTACCCCCCAAAATGCTCAAGTTTATATATTGCAAATAAAACTGGCATAATTCTGAGCTTTTGTTCTATATGACTGTACTGAGCCTAAATAACACAGGTTCCCTCTGCACGTGCTGAGATACTGTGGAAGGTACCGAATGGGACTTCTGACTGAGCATGATTTCTTTTTCTTCTTCACCTGTGCTAATTCTGTAAGGAATGTTATGTGTATAAGTTTCATTATGACTGTCTGGTTAACTGCAGACTTATTTTTTTTTCTTTAGAGTATACAGTGGATGTGTCCAAAGTTCTTTTGTATTTTAAAGTACCTTCTTGCTTCAGTTTAATCCTATATGCCTGACCCTAAAAGAGAAGAGGTTAGGGAAATGTTTCAACATGTAAGAAGCTGTTAAAAAGCTTGGGGGGGTTCTTATTAGCCTTTTCAAACTGTAGTGATCTTCCCAGATTCTTTCAGAAATGTTTCAGCCATAAATACTATTGTCTTGAAAGTGCTACTGCTCTGCCAGCACTGATGAATAATTGAGTATTGTTATGGTACAGTACCCCGCTGAACATTATTTTGGTTAATGTTACTAGAATTTTATCATGGAGCTGCTAAGTTGATCCTATATACAAATCAAATAAAACCTTCTTGTGTATGGGAATATAATCTATGGATTACTTTTGTTTTCTAGATAGTGACATTAGGGACTGAAGAGATTGCTACAGTCATATCACTTCTGGTAGCCATCTTGCAGTCCTATTTCCCACCTCAGATGTAAGAGCCTAGAAAATGTCTTTTTTCTCACTTATACATCTCAGCCAAAAAAAACTCAAAGTCCCATTTACCCATTTTAATGGGTAATGACACTGGTAAGTTACAGAACATATTTAGCAAGTCTGATAACTTGATATTGAATGTTCTGTGAGAGTTTTTGCCAGTTTTCTAAGTCAAACATAATGTCAAGACAGGAAGCTGGCTTTCTTGTGTCTGCTGAAAAAAAGTTCTGTTTTTGAAGGTTGTGAATGTTAGTTTTAAGTGAGGGTCAGCTGCTAGAGCTCCAGTGCTTCCTTTTAGGCTTTTAATCTTATTTCTTCTTGTCAATTTTCTCTTTAGAAACCTGAATTTTCATAATTTGTTTTAAATTGTTCCTGTGTCCCATTACAGCATGTAACATAATAGAAAAAAAATCCACTAGTATATTGTGATACATTGGATATGCTTCCTGCATCTGAAGTCAATGGATGATGTTGAGATCTGTTTGTTCAATTGGAAAAGCAGGTATGGTGGCAATATTATGTCTTTAGACTTCTGCATTAATAAGAACTAGAATGGCAATAAAAGTCTGAGGGTTCTGGGGCGCTTGATTAGTGTCCAGTCTTGGAAATGTAGGGTAATGTTGCAGATCAACATTCTCAGGCTGATAGTGTGTGTGTATATGCTTTTTACAATAGTAATCTGTGAAAAGTCCTTTTCTTTAGCTTTTGTTTGGAGCTCTATACATCTCTTTAAGGCCTCTTTGAATGTCATTTTCCTGCTGTTTAAGTACCCATGGCTTTTAAGTTAGGTTAAAATTTGAATGTCAAATTATTCTAGCTTGGAAATCACTGCTGTGTTAGATGAGCTTCAAAGTTCACACCATGGTTTGTTAAAAAAAAAAAACAAAACTAAAAGAGAAATTGTTTTTTAAAAAATTTGAAATCCATGGGTGGCTCAAACATTTTTCTTTCAAATCTTTCAGATTAAGACTGTACTTTTTTATTATATGGAGTATTTATGCTAAATGTTTTGTTGTAATGCACCCTTAACAGATCAATGGGGTGATGTGACTTAAACATTTGCAGGCATTTATTTTTGAAATGGAGAACTCCGTATTCATTCTCTGTTTTAAATATTTTAATTTTTCTTTCAGATTACTCTTTACATCTGTAGAAATGGACAGCAGCAGTTTCATTCAGTTTGATGTGCCGGAGTACAGCAACACTGTTCTGAGCCAGTTAAACGAACTCCGCTTGCAAGGGAAACTCTGTGACATAATCGTGCACATCCAGGGTCAGCCGTTCCGTGCCCATAAAGCTGTCTTAGCTGCCAGTTCTCCGTATTTCCGCGACCATTCAGCATTAAGCACCATGAGTGGCCTATCCATATCAGTTATTAAAAACCCCAATGTTTTTGAACAGTTGCTTTCTTTTTGTTACACTGGAAGGATGTCCTTGCAACTGAAGGACGTTGTCAGTTTTCTGACTGCAGCTAGCTTCCTACAGATGCAGTGTGTCATTGACAAGTGCACACAGATACTGGAGAGTATTCATTCAAAGATCAATGTTGGTGATGTTGATTCTGTTACTGTTGGTGCCGAAGAAAATTCAGAGAATCGTAATGGCGTTAAAGACAGCAGCTACTTTGCCAACCCTATTGAGATATCTCCTCCCTATTGCTCTCAGGTGCGACAGTCAACAGCAGGCAGCGACCTTCGGATGGAAACTACTCCAGGCAAAACTCTTCGTAGTCGTCTGCAAGAAGAAGGGCATTCAGACCGAGGCAGCAGCGGGAGTATCTCTGAATATGAGATTCAGATTGAAGGTGATCATGACCAAGGAGACCTGATAGTAAGGGAAAGTCAGATTGCAGAGGTGAAAGTTAAAATGGAAAAGTCTGACAGACCAAGCTGCTCTGATAGCTCTTCCCTTGGTGATGATGGATATCACACTGAAATGGTGGATGGAGAGCAGGTGGTCGCAGTAAACGTTGGTTCCTATGGGTCTGTCTTACAACATGTTTATTCATTTACTCATGCCTCATCACAGGCGACAGGTGTGTCAGAAACCTTTGGAAGCATGAGCAATACAAGTCCTTCAAGGTCAATGCTGAGCTGTTTCAGAGGGGGTCGTGCACGCCAAAAACGAGTACCTACAGGTCACTTGCATAGTGATGTCCAGGGCTTGGTGCAAGGGGCTGACAGTGAATCAATGGTGAGTAATCCAGGATATGAAAATAGTCCACGGGAAAGAAATGCAAGAGGTCATTGGTATCCATACAATGAGAGGCTAATTTGTATTTACTGTGGCAAGTCTTTCAACCAGAAAGGGAGCCTTGATCGACACATGCGATTGCACATGGGAATAACTCCTTTTGTGTGCAAGTTTTGTGGAAAGAAATATACCCGTAAGGACCAACTTGAGTATCATATTCGTGGTCACACAGATGACAAACCCTTTCGCTGTGAGATTTGTGGAAAATGTTTTCCTTTCCAGGGTACACTAAACCAGCACTTGCGAAAAAATCACCCGGGGGTTACAGAAGTGAGAAACAGGGTTGAGTCTCCAGACAGAACAGAAGCGTTTGGGGAACAGAAAGTAGATAACGATGCTTCAGCTTCTGAAGCCATGGATTCTAGTATGGAAATTCATGCAATGTCTAACACATCTGATTAAAATCTTACATCTAAGTGAAACAGACAAGCACATTACTAATGTATTTTTAAAGTATTTTATTCTTTTAGTAATCTTCAGTACAAGTGTAACAGCCTTTTCATTTTCCCGACCTTCTGGAAATCAGTTAGAAATGGTTTCTGGAGAAGACTTCAGAAGTATTCTTTGTTTTTGAAAGAGGCTGAATTGTTTGGGGTTTGTTTTTTTTGTATTTGAGGACACTCAGAATATAAAGACAGTGTACTGGGGAAGGGCTAGGAAGAGTCTGGTCAAATGTCCCCGCTGATTGATCTGGTGAGACGCAAATGCCAGTGGAGAAAGATATTAGAATAAGATTGGCAGCTCTGCTGAATGTTCAAAGAAGCTGTAATTTCCTTTATTTCTTAAATCATGTTGCTGGTAATGAGTTACACAGCAGTTGGGAGAGAGAATATTACAGCTTTGATTCCTCTCCTGTCACAGTGAAATCTGTTCACTCTTACTAACTGGCTTTGGTAGTGAGACTTTATATATATAAATTTGCTTTATATATATAAAATGCTTTCACTTTCCCTTTTCTGTGTCAAAGCTAATACCATATGCCACTTTATCAACCGTTAGGACTCCTCTCTGCTTAGGGTTTAGAACTTCGGACTTTGGTAGGATGGTTTTGATTTCAAACAAATGTTGTTTGGTTTTCATTTTATTAAACTATTACTTTGTGTGCAAAAGTGAGCAAAGTGAATTACTTTGTTTTAATAGCTTTGCTTTATAACATATGTAAACCAAATGCCATAAATCTATTAACTATGGTTAAATTGTTGAAAGGTTTTGTTAGTTGTCTAGAATGCAAGCTGGACAACCTGTGGTGCTGACCTTTTTATATATATAGAGATAGATATATCTATATATATATAGATATACACATATATATATATATCTATATATTAAAAAAAAAATATTAGCAAACCTAAAAGTAGCATTGTGGTCTAAAATGTGTTTTTACTGGCCTCAGAATCTACCTTCATTTTGTACTGTAGAACCGTACCAGGTAATTAAACTTAACTTCATCACTCTTCATGGTTGGTTAAAACATGAGAGAGATGTAGTTTAAATCACAGTATTTCCGAGCAGTATTTTAATAGGTCTCTTCACAGAGAGCTGCTTTCAGGTGCACGTTGGCTTCCTACTTAAATTTCCGAGTGATATGCCAGCACTTGGAATTTGTACTTTTTTTGTATAGAAAAACAAATACTTTATGGGAATTTTGAGCAATATGTTATTTCATGTGTGAGTATTACAGAGTTGCTATGGCTTCTCTGTTTTTACAGTGGTTTTTTCTCTATAAAGAAGCTACCAACAACTTTAAAAATACTCTAAATCTTTTTTGTTTCACCAAATACGTGTTTTTAATATGGTGCTAACTTCATTATTTAGGTCAGTATAATATATAACATGTGAAACATAATGGTCAAGGGAAAAAAATCCCCAAAAACAGACAAACAAAAGCCCCCCTACACAAACCAACTTCCCAAGATCCCAACCAAACAGAAAAAAAAAAAAAGGAAAAAAAAGGAAAAAAAAAAGAAGAAAGGAAAAAAAAACAATCCCATACCACAAAAAACCAATGGCTTAAAAGACCTCAAAAGCATGGGCTGGCAAACACTACTGTTTAACATTCTACCTGATGAACAGAATTAATTATTAAACTAATCACATCATTCTTTAGAATACAGGTTTTATATTATTGGGTCCTATGTTTGTTTAGCTGATACTGAAAATCCGTTTGTGAACGTGCTGTTTAACTTACAAAAATTAGAGAATAAAAGTGCATTTCTAAATTATTGGAAAGAAAAAGGTAGGTTTGCTATCTTGTAAAACTTTTTGGCCTCTGTGAAGCTGGGACATATTTGTGCAGCGGCTTTATTAAATACACTAGTTCTTCATATTGTGACACTCTGCAATAAGAATTAATCTCTCAAACATGGATTTACAGTATAACCTCCAGCTGCTCAATTGGAGCAGTTTCAGTCAAATTAAGTGCATCATTTGCCTCTTTGTCCTAAAGCTGCCTAAATAAAGAGGCTGGGGGTGGGGAGATGTTTCTCTCCTTGAAGCAACAACAGAAATTTTGTTTCCAGTGAGGGAAGGGATAGTCTGTGTCTAAAGGCAGGTAGTCTGTATGTTTACTCACCTGAAAACATGGTGTTTCTGATACAGTTTTTTCCTTGAGTGTTTGTTTTAAGTAATTAAATGCAAAAAGTGTGTTTTGGTAAATTAAGTTTGAGACATGCAAAATCCAAGAAATGTACAGTTATTCTTAACCCTTTATCTTGAACCTGTGCTGTGGTGCCTTTGGTGTGAATTTTTCCCTGGAAGGATGACTTGAGGATAGCAGGATATGGGTACAAATTTATATTTCTTGAATTTCTGTGTCACAATCTTAGCATTATTTAAATCTAGTTCTTTGTATTTGTAAATGTATGAAAATGGTTTGAGTTTACCAAAGAGTGACTTATCCAAAATTGTCTCAGACAAAAGCAAACAAGAATACAACATCATGTTGATTGTACAGGTTCAGGTTCAAAACATTGTAACAGACTGTTAAAGGGCAGGAAATGATCAATTTTTCTACAAGCCGTGGTTCAGCAGTGTGCAAGTCCCTCCCCGCGCGGGCAGCGTTCTTGCCTCCAAGCCATAGTCCAGCTCTGCGGTCCAGCAGCGCTCCGGGCTCTGCCGGACACCGCCGTTACCCCTGGCCGCAGCACTGCCACTGTGCCTTGTCACATAGCGGGGTGCCAGGATCAGCACTGGCACAGACACGAGGCGTGACCACCGGGCAAAGGGTGGAAGCACTGTACAGTGTCTCGTGTCTGTGCAGTTCTTAGCACAGGGCTGTTACACATTTCATTTACAGTAAATGCAGAAGTCAATAGAATATGTGAAGAAAATAAGTAATGAAATTATACAGGCTGGTTCATAATTGAGTCTCTTCTTAATCTACCTTTTTAATTCTAGACAAATGTGAAAACAGTGACAGTGTCCTTTCCTCTAGATGCTTAACCTATTCTGACAAACTGTGAAAATAAAGGATTTTATACCTTTGCTAATGTTTCTGGTTTAAAACTATTATTTTAGTTTTCTTTATCCGTTATCTCCCATATTACTTCTTTTAAACTTGTAAATACGTTTAGAAAATAGCTTTGTAAATACTTACAAGTGTATTACAAGTTCAGTTTGGTCACTAAAGCGTCAAGATTGGCTCTGCTTTTTGAGTGTGAAATCTTTCTGTAGCATAAAGGATACTGTCAGTTCACTGTCAGCAGGGTAGACTGTAGGCCTAAATTTAGAGTTTTAATGCAGTCTTCTCCAGCATAAATACATGTTTTGTGCTGAAGTCTTTGGTTTACTTTAGACAAAACAATGAGGCCTCATAATGTTTAGGCTGAATTATGGGAAGAACGACAGGAATAAAATCAAGGGCTGGGAAAATATTGAATAAGCTTTACCTTTAAATATATATATATTATTTTAATTTTTGTATTAGTTTACTGTGATTCTTTTATTGTCATTTTTCTAAACAGGTTTTACATGAAACCATTGAAAGGGACTCAAATATGCAACACCTAGTCTATTTTCCAAGGGAACTTTACCCTTGAATGGTGCTTTTTGACTGGTCAGGGTTATTTATTAAATTTTATATTTGAAAGTATTTGGGGAATTATGTAAATTCTTTATATGAATCTCTTTATTTCATGAATTGTAAATTTCATAATACTCAGTGATCAAATTGGAAGTTTAGTAAAGTCATTCAAAATGTTCAAACTTTATAATCTGTGTGCATTTTACATATGTTTTATCAAGTGCCAGAATACTTGTATTTAATATTGTAGATTTAATACTACTTGCACATCCCTGTGGCAGCATTAACTTAAGTTATGCAAGTTTACATAAAAAAAAAAAAAAAAACGAAACAAATAAGTAAGCCTGGGACATGTGTTCCTGTATTACTTCAGGGGATGTGAAGCCACGTATCACTGACTGAGCAGGTTTGCTTCCTGCTCCTGTAGCTCACTCCTGCTATGGCAGATACAGAACTGCTGAATCCCGTTCCCACAGGCCAGGGATTCAGCCTTTGAACTCAGCCTGAGAACCTCTGGTTGTAGATCTGGTTAGAGGTAGAGCTCTTGCACGATTTTAACAGTGTTTGTTTCTGACTGAAAATTTGTATTTTAAAATAAATTTTATTTGTATGGTTATTTTTCAAGATAAATAATTGAACAGTTTGAATGACTTGACTTGGTGTCATTATCTTGCAATATAAACCGGGAACCTCACACCTCTGCACTTCATCGCCACGTGAAGTAAATGAAGCTAGCTAAGCTGATGCTGTAAGAATTAGTAACTTGCCATTAAGGATTATTTTACAGCATGAACTTTAAAATATTTATTCAGATGATATTTTACTCTTGTATTCACTTTGTTTTTAGATTTGTGACATGAATATTTCTGTGCTGCTTTATTTTGTTCTGATGAATTTGTTTCTTGCTTGTAAATTGCCTTTTTTATGGTATAAAGTCAATTGGAATTGCTGTTTGTAAATTAAAATGCTTCTAGAGCAAATCTGTGGTGTCAGTGTCTAAATTTAGGTATTTAATTACTGAGGAGTTTGCATTTTGGATGCTATTACTGAACTGTTACAAGAAGCATTTTAATACTGATCTACCAACTAGAAATCAAGTCATTAGAAACAACTACTCTGTCTGTAGTTTCTCTGTTTTGCCAGCATCAATTGCTTCGTTCTGAACAGATGATCATTTGAGCTGTGTACTCCAAAACCTCATCCAGCTTTCAGAGCAAAACAAAAAATCCAGCCAGGTGGTGGCAGTCCATCCATGCCATTCCAAGGGCGGTCTGTTGAGGAGGACACCCTGCTTCGTTCCTTCAGCAGCATTTGTGTTTTATGTTCTGCTGCCGACATCAGTAGGGGTGATGCTGCTCCCAGCAAGTGTAGGTACGCTCCTTCTCACCCTCGACATTGAATTTAACAGGAGCATCCCCCCTACAGTGCAGCTGTAGGCCATGGTTATCTTGACTGGCAGTGGGATTTGGCGGGACTGGAGCTGCGTGGTCCCTGAGTCCCTGTTGGTATCAGAGTACCTATTCCAGCAAAACCTCCCTTCAAATCCGCTCCTTATAACGGTCTCAAATTTCAAGTAATGCAGAGTGGGGTAAACAAGACCTGACTATTAGGAGTGGGATAAATATACTGTTGCACTGGTATCCTGGCCACTGAGATGATCAGGTGTCCGGAGCATCTCTGCTATGGACCAGGCTGGGAGAGCTGGGGGTGCTCATCTGGGGAAGAGAAGGGTCTGGGGAGACCTCAGAGCCCCTTCCAGCACCTAAAGGGGCTCCAGGAGAGCTGGAGAGGGACTTTTATCAAGGGCCTGGAGTGCTTCCTACTGGCAGAGGGCAGGGTTAGATGGGATATTGGGAAGGCATTGTTCCCTGGGAGGGTGGTGGGGCCCTGGCACAGGGTGCCCAGAGCAGCTGCGGCTGCCCCATCCCTCTAGTGACCAAGGCCAGGCTGGACTGGGCTTGGAGCAACCTGGTCCAGTGGAAGGTGTCTCTGCCCATGGCAGGGACGTGGAATGAGATGAGCTTTTAAATCCCTTCCCAAAATCATTCTGATTCTGTGAGTGTTCTGAAATACCTGAATTTCTCTCAACATAGCTGGCACATCTGAATTCAGCATCAAGGGAAAAACAGACCCAGAGATTGGATACTTGTTTAAAAAGTGCTACAAAATACCACTTTCAGCAAAGCAGAAAACAGAAGGCAAAGATTTTGTGAAAAAGTTTTGTTAAGATGGCTACATGAAAAACTTGGTTTAGGTTAAAAAGAACCAGTTCTGTTCACCTGATCTTTGTGTACATGCAGACGCAGGCCTCATTGCTTAACTTTTCATAATGCAGACTTCTTGAAAACAGGTTGAGGGAAAGGTAGAATAGCCAATGAATATGGCATATGGAATTTATACTCTTCCAGCAATAATCATGCAGAGAAAATTAATCCAAATCCCATGGATGTTACATTTCATGAGCTGTATGAAATAGCATAGTACATTTGTATTGTGCATGGGTTTAGGAAAAATTTAAATTTAATATTATGTCAAAAGTCAGTTGAATTATAAACAGAAACATTTCATTAAAATTTAGGGAAATTATATGGCTGATGCCATTGTCTAAAGTAGCATTCCTTGTCTATGCATTCTTTTCCACCAGAGGGTGCTGGCTTATTTTTAAAAATATATTATGTAGGGGTCATTTAAGGCACTGTACATAGCAGAAGCCTAAAATAAGAACAAAAAAAGAAGTTTGCAGTCCTCATTATGACCCCTCAAAAGGAGCAGGTGCTGGGTGATTCCGTTGTTAGCAGAGCAGTGTTTATACCCAGGATTTCAGAGTCTGTCCTGCTGTGCTACATGAGACCTACCTGGGCAGCGGACACCACCATTTACAGTACTTTAAGCATCAGTTTGGTGACTGTCAGAATCTCATAATCATTTGGATAAGAACTTAACTGGTTTTCAGATAGTTTTTTTTCAAATTCCTGTAAAAATACTAGTAACTAATGTATATTTTCCAAAGTCTGTAGCACATGGATTGCTGTTTTAATGTTCTGGCACAGTGATACAGGACAGAGAAGAAAATATTTTGCCAGACAGTTCAGTACTTTTGCTCTAGTGGGAACTGATTCTATACGTATTAAAGTGTGTTGCTTGGCAGTACACCAATAGGATAAACACAAATAAGAATTAAATGTTTGGAGATTCATATGAAATAATTTTCTTTAGCCTTTCTGAGAGGCAGGGAAGTGTAGAGAGAATACCTTCTGTGTAGTGCCTTTGGCTTTGATATAGTTATTGGTGTTGTGAGCATCAGGACTCATAACATCTCAAATCTATGTTTAAAGTTGTTTTTACAATTTATTCTCGAATTTTTCTGCTTTGAAAAGCACACTCATAGACATTTAGTTGTGATATATGAAGATGTTTAAACTGCTCTGAGTTTGATAGGTAATGAAAACCTTTGGTAACCAGTAAAATTGGGAAGACACCTTATAAATGTATTCGGGGCATCATGCAGTATCTCAAAGCTTCCTCTGCATACCCTCACTAGGCTTTTGTTCTCTAACATGCAAACCTGCAGGCCAGTCCGATGGGCTGAGTGGAATCCTGCATGTACCTACCAGTCCACAGAGCCAGTGTTTTCCTGTAGCTATGCCTACACACACTGAGCCTGAGCATTGCTTTTATAGAAGCTGTAAATCAGAGAAAGGTGCACCATCCTTTTGCCTCTTTGCTTCAAGTACCACTCTCAGTTACCAAGAAGCCCACAAAGCTCTATTTTATTGCCTTGGAAGAACACACAAGGTCACTGTGTGACCCGCAGCATCATCACCCGGACCTGAACCTGACCCCGGATTTAGTTTGGAGGTTCCGAGAGGTTCGTCGATGCACCGGGAAGGGAGAGGCACAGCCCATGCTGCGGCGAGGGGACGCGAACGACCGGCACTTCACTGACTCTTCTCCGGGAGCGGCCCGACCCGCTGCTCGGGGCCGGGCCGCGACCGGGAGGGACGCGCGGGCTGTTCGGAAGCCCTGCCCGGAGCCCCGGGTTCTCCCCGCGCCCGGAGCCCCGGGTTCGCCCCTGCCCGGAGCCCCGGGCTCCCGCCGCTCTCACGGAGCCGCCTGCGCAGCCGCGCTGAGACCGCCAGGGGGCGCGGGCGGGGCGGGCGCGGCCAAGGACGGCGCCGAAGCACCTGCGCTCGCGCGCTCCCGCCCCGCCCGGGCCCATTGGTGCGCGCTCCCGCGCGGGGAGCCGGTTGGCTGTCGCGCGCGTCAGTCCGCGCGCCCCCGCCCCGCCCCGCGGTCCCCAGCCGGGCCGGGCCTCGTCCCCGGCGGCGCTGAGGGTGCCTCCCTCTCACCGAGAGGGCTCGTGGGCGTTGCTGGGGGCATCAAGTCCCGAATAGGTGAGTTGCGGACAAGCTCCGTGTGCCCGGCAGAAAAGGTAGGACAGGCCGCGACAGCCCCTCGTCCCTCTGCTTTCTACCGGCCCCGCTCCGGGCGTGTGTTGCGGGCGGAGCTCTGCGGCGACAGGCCCAGACGGGCGCTCACCCTCCAGAGGCGCCGCTAGCGGGAGGCCGGCGGCTCCCGGCTCCCCGGGGGCGGCGCGGGGCGCTGCCGCATCGCGCCCACCGTGGCGGGTCCGGGCGCCTCCCGCGCGGGGCGCGGCAGGTGCGCGGGAGGCGGGGTGGGCGCTGGCGGCGCTTCCCCGCTCTGCCAGCGCCCGACCGGCCCCGCGGCCTCGCTCGGAAAGGGCCCCGGGCCCCTCCCCGCCCGGCGATGTCGCTCCGGCGCGGGGCCGGCGGTCCCCACGGCCCTGCCCGCCGGCGGGGCTCGGAAGCCGGCCCGGTGCGGTGAGGCGGGGCGGGCACGTGCAGTCGGTGCTGCGCGGCGCGAATCCGGGCGGACAGCGGGAGCAGCCTTGGTGCGGACGTGGGGTCTAGGGGGAACAGATGGAAACCACCTAGGGTTGGCTACGTCCTTGTGTCTTTAGGAATAAATTTGAAAACTATTGGCGTATCATGTGGATGAAACCGTGCGGATCTTGTTAAGAGCCTTTACTGCGATCTGTTTTCAATTCACTTCAGATAGTTTTTGGTCTAGCTTCTGCAGGCTTATGTCAGCCTGGGGCTTTGGCATGTAGTGGATGGAGCAATGGATGTTGAAATTTTTGGTTGTAGAAGTACATCATGCCTTTTGTCTGTGGTTTGTTGTTCTGAACCCAACTAAATGGAGCATATGTATTCTTGTCATACTAATTATTGAAAAAATTGAAATGCGTTGGTGTCTCTGAAATATAAAAGAATATTCCTTGCCTCAGAAACCTTATCTATGAATGTTGCAATTTGTCTTTTATGTATAGCTTTGATAGTCAGATATTTTTTCACTTGTTGAATATTCATGCCATGCCTGGTAGATATGCTTCATGTCTCAGAAGGACAGGAAGCTGTTGTAAAGGGCAGACCTACACACACTCATTTGTTGGTTTTCTGTATGTTGCCTATTCTGCATGATGGAGCACCAGTTTGAAGAAAAATGAGTACAAAACACTTTCAAACCAAGTTATTTTATTCGTTTTTCTGTTTATTTGCCTTATTTTGGTGAAGACACCTAGAAGTTCATGCCCATAGGAATTACAAGTTTTGCCCTTTATTAAAATGCCACGTGATGCAGGGCAGACAACAGGCGTCATGTCTGTAATTTCACTGAAATACTTAAATGGTTGCTAACCCATTTTTAACTTGTCATTTTGATTATTCTCTGAACTCGGATCATTTGCTCATGCAAGGAGTGCCTACTGGATGAGTTTTGGATGTGTCAAAAGAATACTGCTTTTCTAGCAAAAGATGCTTTGATGCCAGTAGGAATTGTGTATAGTTATAGCAAGAAGAGAGACTTTAAGGGGGAGGTTCTCTTGTGATAGAACAAAAATAAAACCTGTAGTAGAGGCACAGTAGCACCAATTGACCTGCAGTTATTTTTGCCTTTATCAAAGCAACATGGGCTTTAATGAGATTTTCATGTCAGTCTATATAAAAGAAGCTGTCTTTGAGGTTATTTTCTTCTCATTTGATGTGTAATTTTATTAAACATTAGGTTTTAGAAAAGTTGGTATAAGGCAAAAGAGGAGAAAAGGGAAGGGCTATGCCTAAAGTAAATATCCCCAAAATGAGTTACCTAAGCAGTATTTTTCTCAGGTTTGTAGCTGATCATGTTTGTTGGAAGAGCTATGGCTTTATTTGCTGATACAGAGATAAAAGAATTACTGTATTTGGATTTGTGTCCGTTTTGCTTTGTTTAGTTAAGCCTTGAGGAAAATGATGTGAGAATGACTAGCATTTACAATTCATAAAGCACCTTGAAAGAAGTGAGTGAAACCAATAAATAATGTGTGTTGGCTTGGACCTTGTGTTGATTGACAGAGTGAGGGGGAGTTACAAGCGCATATTTGGAGTATATTTAGCTATGAAACTTATAATACATTGCTCTTCTCTCTGTGATGTATATGTAGTTCTTTTAAGTTTGGGAATTGTCAAGTAGCAGTGAAACTAGAATGGGGAACCAACAATGGAAGTTGTGAGGGAGACGTAAGAATAAAAATACTAGAGCACATGTTTCAGGTGAGGAGTGCAGAGTTTGAGAATAATTGAGTTGTAAAATAAATCCTGTTTCCTGGCATTTACAGGAATGTTATGCTTTTAAACAAGAGATAAAACTGCTGAAAAACCAGAGCTAGACCCAGCAACAAACTAATGGAGATGTGCAGCAAAATGGGTTGAGAGCACGGCTGCCTTATTCCACTGTAAGTATGCAACTGTATTTAAAGTTACAGGTATTTCATATTTTCACTTATATTTGATAACCAGAGATTACAGAAGCATCTGTCAGTTCTCTTCTGTTTAGAGAACTTCAGTTTTAGTAGTATTTTACTATAATTTGCAGATATATGTTTCTTTTCCTGTAACTGAAGATTTTTTCCTTTCATGAAAATTCCCTTAAAGTAAAACTTCCCTAAACATATATCTTGGTCTTCTGAGATATTCAAGTTTGCAGACTTGCTTGAAGGGTAATGACTTTTGAAGGAGAACAACTGCTGGAGAGAGCACTGCATTTCTGTCTTGATATAGAACCTTGATGTAAAGATTTCCAGACACAGTTAAATTCCAGTCTATGCAAAGTTCTCCAAATGGTTTCTAATAATTAGAAACCCATACTGTATTTCTTGTCTTAATTTGTTTAGGTAACCAGATGGAGATCTGTCTACTATCTTTACTTAATAGAATTCACTTTATTGTACTTTTTTGGCTTATACAAGTAATTTTGATCATACTATTACTTTACTTCCTGATGCAGTAAGTAATGGTGCAGATAGAAGAATGGAGAGAAGAAAACACTTAAAAGTAAATTTGTAAATGTAATAAATGTTCTTTAGAATGAGCTCAGTAATCAGTGAATATAGTAAAGATGTGGGGCGTAATCACATCTTTATAGAATAGCATTGGACATTCAAGCCAGCATTGTCAGCTTTCTACTCTTTCATGGTTTTAGCAACTGAAGATTGTGTGAGATATTTCAAATAACTTTTGACAGCCTTTTGCTCTGAAATTTTGCACACAGCTTTTAAACTAGAAAACTGAGACATTGCATTCGTTATAATTTTGAAAAATAAGACAACCTTATTTTTATTCCACTTGTAGAATGTTAGCTTACCTTTTTGGTGTAGTGACTGCCACATATGTCTTTGTATCCAGGTTGCCCTATGACAGTTAATTTGAAAAGCTGGAATTTTAATTGTTGGAGGGCAGCTTAGTGACAACAAAGGGACCAATGGCTGTCTAGTGTAACATGTGACAAATCAAATAAAGCATGTCATAAATGCATGACTTGCGCATTAGGTGTTGTTTTTAATGTACTGTTAGATATAATTCAGATCAGTTGTGTATTAAAAAAACTCAAGAGTTCAGGACTTGGATTCTCAAGTTGTTTCTTAAACTCATCACAGCAGCTGCTCCTCTGCTCACAGTCAAACTCGTTTGAGTACGTGCACTGGAGGGGTGGAAGTAGGAGAGTTGATAGAATTTTAGAAAGGGAAATCAACTTTGAATATACTTTTTCCAGAATTAGACTTGATCCATTGGCAGCTATTGGGAAATGATGCAAGATTCAGGTATTTTCAGCCTGTTTACTCAGGGACGATGCATGTTATTGAGGAATAGTTATTTACTTGAGTGATCTCAGTTTATGGTCAGCTGAATTAATCCACAGCCCCATTTTATTTCTGTTACATTTTCATTAGTCATCATTAAATACAGTCAGAAGTTTCTCAGAAAAGGATGTGCATGAAACTGCTAAATTGTTCATAGTGTATTTTATCTATAGGTGGTACTGTTGCCTAAAGCACAGTGAAATATATTAGGGTCTTCCTGGTGAAATGGATACTGAAAATACACAAGTGTTTGCTTTGGAAGATCTTTAAAAAGCTATCACATTTCTATGACTAATATTCTGTAGCCTAATTGCTTTGTTCTTAATAAACTGTTAGTAGGCAATTATTTAAATCCAGGCTTTCATATACTCTAGAATTTCTCATGTTGTCCAAATGTCCACCAAGATTTATTGTTTAATTACTTCAAAAGGACCGTTTGAAATTAAGATATTTTTCATATAAAGCATTATAGTTACTTCGTTGGTTCTAACTAAGTTTATCAGTGCCCAGGTAGGGCGCTAGTGCACTTTGATTGCTCTCACTGAACCAGTTGTCCAGCTAATTTAAGCTTAAGAAAGAATATTTAACTTTTGATAGAATGCTGAAGTATATTTTCTTAAAAGCATGTTGCAGCTCTCAGTTCTCGATTCAGTGTCATTAGGAAGACCATAATCAACTAATGAAAGTAGTAAGTAAACGGTTATTGAAATCAACTAAGCCAGTTGACTTGTGGAGTCTGAAATGGCTGAATTAGGGGTAGTAAAAGCATATGTAGCTCAGTATTTTTCACTTCAGTTTAAAAAATCAGTAAGAACAGTGGTCATCAGTGGTTGCTGACGTGGTTATCTTTGTATTTGCTGAAAGCAATGTGAACAGTCAATGACTTCCTCAGATTGCTCTGCTAGCATTCAGAAATTAGAGCACTTTAGTGGACTTTGTTGTGAACAAAGTCCACAAATTAGTGGACTTTGTTGGCCAGAAGTGGTTTTCTGTGCTTAAGCGTCTCAGTGACTCTTGTGAGTTTGGTAACTAGTACTGCAACTAAACTTATGGGCACTTTGACTGCATTACATGCATGTTACTAACAGCAATATAAAATTTGCATTTTGCTTTCAAAGAATGTTGCTTCTGTATCATAGATAACAAGATTTGACAAATGCTGGTAAAATAATGGCTCTAAGGTTTGCTTCTGTGCTTGGTTTTGATGGTGGTATTTTTGGGGTTTTTTCCAGTTGTTTTTGCAGTGTCTTCAGTTTTGCTTCTGAGAGTGCTCCGTATCTAAATGGGTTTGTCAAATTGGCAAAGAAGAACAGACAAACTCCGGTGTCTGTTGCATCCTGATTTATCCACTTTGCTGCGGACAGCCTATGAAGGAGATCTACTGCAATGTGCCTGTGAACCTTCCGTGCAAACAGATAAGGTGTTTCCTTCGTTTTGATTTTTAGCACTGTTTGTGTAATGCATCATTTTAGTGATTAACCTGAGCAAGTTGAAAGAAATTGTATGAATCAAAAGCTGTGAAAAGAAGTTGTATGTAATTTAAGTGGCTTCTTACATTTTATTGCCAACATTTTGGGCCTCTGGTAATTTCTGGGATTTGAGAAATTTCTTTTTAATCTAGTTGGAGTGAAATATGGCAAGTACAGGGGAATATTATTTTTAACATCTTTATGTTGTTTGATAGCCTTTTCACACCATGGGCATAGTATTAGCTCCTCTGTTACTTTGTGTGCAAAGTTATGCATTCTGCAGGTGGGGAAACACTTCAAATGATCAAGTGGACTTGACTAAAAAGGATAATTGCTTCCTATGACTTTTGTAAAGGTAGCAAAACAAGTGTAGAGAGGCATTTTTTCATAGACGTGAATCTTGAAGAAGTCCTTGCACGTATGAAAAAACAGTGCATTTTAAATGCTTGTGTTATATTTGGAACATTTTGGGGGGAGGGGGTAAGGCGAGGGGAATCTGTTTTGATCATGTCTAGAATGAAAGTTTCTAGCCTTGCAAGATTTGTGTATGTGCTGAATGTTAAAAGGCAAAAGTATATTAGTGCTTTTGGGTTTAGGTATTAAAACATTTTTGTCTCACTTTGATATAATGAACATTGAAACTTGTGTAAAACTGAATTTGGGCATGATAAAAGTTCACATATGGGATTTTTCTTTCCCCTTTCACATTGTAATTGATTCCTCATGCCCTGGAGAACGTATTCAGAAAGGCAGGGATGGAGGCCACAGGAATATTTTTGTGGCCTTAATGTAAATGCCACATGTTAAAGAAATTACATCTACAGAATTACTTTCCACTTCAGGATTGTAAGGACTGTTAAGAAGAGCAACTCCAGACCTAGAAATACTTAGCAGCCTGTTAGTGCTCAAAATGAGTTAAACTTATCAGCAGAAAATATAAAGAAAATTGACTTTTGCCTTGTTTAGCAGAGAAGATGTTGGCATTATTTGAAGCAAAATTAGTGACTTGTTTCATGAAAGATCCTGGGGAGAATTGTTTGTCGTTGTAGGAATGAGAAGTGAAGACTTCATCTTTCGAAAGAGAGTAAAATAAGAGGATATTTTTATTCTTAGCTGTTTTCTTTTCTGAGGATTTTTCTGTTGGTGTGATCAGTGTTGTGGGAGGGAACGTGAGGACGCAGAGGGAGATGTGGCAGTTTCCCTTGCTGCACATATGAGCAACTACAGCTGTTGATGAAAGAGTCCATTTACAGGAGTCAGTGGCCGTGCCTGCCATGGGCTCATCCATGTGTGCTGTGGGGAGTGATGACACAACCATGCTGTTTGCTCAGTTAAACAGAATCAGAGCTTGAGCTGACTTGCTAGTTCTGTAAGCAGTTTGTGGTAGCCTGCAGTTTCTGAGACTTTGGCCTGCCTGGGAGGGACTTTTATATAAAACTTAATTCAACATGAATGACAAATAATACACTTTTTTCCCCCCTGCATTTCTGGAGTTGAGTGGAGGTAAGGGTAAGGACTTAGCATCGCTTTAGCAATATTCAGTTGTACTCCTTCGCTGATGGTACCTGGAAAAGAAAAGAGCATCTATCTCCTAAGATAAATCTTGTTTCCTAAGTCCTTTGCTCTGAGTAGGAAAATGAAATATCCTGTATTGCTGGGTTGTTTCCTGTGTGCATTTTGGGTTTTTTAATAAATTTGATTTATTCCACAAATAATTTGCTTTGCAGGAGTTTCTGTTTTCAACCAGTGCTGGCTGAGCTGAAACTTCCTGCACCGTGTGGAGAGCATGTATAAAAGGAATGACTTCATGGCCAGTGTGATGGTCACCTCTGCCACTCCAGAGGTACAGTTTGTTGGGTTTTATTAGCTCCTGTATCAAAATAGAAATTTTGGCTTGTTTCAGCTTTCACAGAAGCCCTTTCCACTACTAGTCATATACTACACCATTTGTAAGAAAAAGAACCAACATGGCAAGAGAGTAATTATAGAGCACTTCATGGTTTTTGGTGTTCACAGCCATGTTTTTTTATTGTTGTTGTTAATGATTATTCATTTTGTTTTGTTTTAAATGGCACTTTTGACCTGTTACTCTGTAACTTAGAGCAGCCATGAATTGTTGGTGAGTTCAGAGCAATGTAATATACCATCAAAATGGAGTCGGTTATTTTGAGATTAATTTAATCATTCTGCAGATAAATCTACTATTTTTTCTTTTTAGGGTAGTAGTAGCTCAGATTCCCTGGAAGGGCGAAGTTCAGATTATGCCAATAAAAGCTACGATGCAGTTGTATTTGATGTGTTGAAAGTAACTCCTGAGGAGTTTGCTGTAAGTATAAATGTTATTTTTGCATTTAAGCTTGTATAATACTCAGGGTTGCAGAGTACTAAAAAATATATGAAATATTTTTTCTTAATAAAACCCAGCTTTTAAATAAACCTCCAGTGTTTTTGAAAACAAATTTCTGACTTTATCAACTTCAATAAAATAATCCTGTTTTGGCATTTAATCATGTAGTACTGACCTGACACAGCATATTTGTTTTACTTTGCATTTTTTAAGTCTTTAAGGGACCCTAGCATAGGCTAGTTCTGGTTAGTAAGAAATATGTGTATGGATTGTAGTTACTGAAGGGCAGATAGAAATACGTCATTGTTAGCTCTTCATATTACATGATGTAAAATTCTGTCTTCATTTCAGAGCCAGATAACATTGATGGATATGCCAGTATTTAAAGCTATACAGCCTGAGGTAGGTTTTCTTGAACCATCTTTGGAAATCAGTGCCTGAGAAAATGTGATGATTCAAAGAATGCTTTTTTGGTTCAAAAATGCTCACTTTCTTGCGCTGCACTAATGTTTTTCTAGGTATATTCCCTGTTAGTACTGTGAATCTGTAATCCAGCATGAGTTACTTTGGTTTGTCATCTGTTGCCAAAGGGGATAACTGTGCTTTTCTGGAAGTCTTCTTGTCTTGCTTTGAGTGGAGTGTTTCTTCAGGATAAGTTTATCAAGTGTAAAAATTCTCTGTTCTCCCTTCTGCTGCCGTTTTTCAATTCATATCTGATTTCAGACTTTTGACTCCTGCCTCTGACCATAATCTCAATTTTAGACTGCATCAACTGCTTTATAAGCTTCTTAATTTTAAGATTCGGAATAATAAATGCTGGAATTAAATTAGCCCAAACCCTTAAAAGTTACTCTTTTAAGATTTTAACCTTTTTAGAAAGACGCATAAGGGAACCTGAGGCCTGTTGAGGAAAAGCAGTCAAAGTTAACCAAGACGTTTGAAAATCAGTAGTAAGAGCTTGAGAAATGAAGAATAAAAGTAGTTGTCAGAATATGACAAATTTGCGTAAAATATGATAAATTTATTTACTGCAAAAGGTACGAGAATCACGTGACTCCTGCTTCAGATGTTTTGACTATAAGACCATGTGTCCATTGTGGCTTGTTGTCTTCTTGTTCTAAGGTTGGAATATCATGGTTTTATGAAGGGCAGCCTGAGCGCCCCCATAATGTCAGCAGAACTGAATTTCTGACAACATCAGTAGGGGCAGTCAAGTTTAGAAGGTTTTTAGTGGAAGGTCCAGCCACCTAATCAGGTCACTAACAAAACAAGTCATCATTTATTACAGTAGTTCAGAGAGATTAGCAGACTTCTATTTTGAGAAAATATAGGAAGGAAATAAAAAAGTTGTCTATCTGTTGTCTGTCCTTCCTGTCAGATAATTCCTTTTTTTCCCCCAAGAACACCAAGAGAGTTTTGTAGCTGAAAACGCTTTCATGCTTCTGCAATTACATGTGTGCTCCAGGCTGTTGGGGAGAATTTTCTTTCCTGTGGGAAAGAAAATGGCAAACAAATAATGCAATAAGAAATTATGCCCATAGAAAAATCTGCTAGCAAAAAATTTTCAATATGTACCAATTGATACATAGATACTTTTCTACGAGGAAGTTTTGTTTCCACAAATATCAGGACAAAACAGTTTGTTTTTTTTTTTTTTTTAATTCTAACTACCTTTGCCAAAAGCAGAGGTAGTGTCATACTATGAGGAGATGAACGAACTGAAAAACAAAATACAAAACTATAGATGTTCATTGTTAAAGCAAATTTTGAATTTACTTTAGTTGCTATGAAACATGTGCCATAGAATTTTATAGCAAAAAATATCCCAAAACAATTGATTTGCTTTTCTTCTTTTCCTTTGTAATTGCTTCATTTTGCCTTTTGGAAATGAAATTCCCTAAAGTGCTTCTCTGGCAAGTAGATGTAACTCACTGAAGAGTGATCAGAAGGAAAACTATTGTATTTCCAGCTTCTGCTAGAATATAGATCTTTGATATGTAGCAGTTACCATGAACTATTAGTTGTTAATTGTGCTTTCTGATTTTCATCTTATTGGAATCATCAATATAGTTTGTTTGCCAAAAAGAAACAGCTGTTTCTATCCTGAAATTCTGCCAACTGTAGGACTATGTTTTAAAGCAAGAAATAGTCTGTGTATTTGTCATAAAACTCTCCCTTGCTATTAGATAAGTTATTAGACTAAGAAAGTTAACATTTTCTCGTTGAAATTTAAGGTTTTATTATTTTAACATGGCTTTATGCATGGATGGAAATACCTACAATTTTAGAGTTTTGGTTGAAAAGTCTTATCTCAAACATACAAACATCCTTTAAGTGTGGTATTTGCTGAGGCTTTTTCCTGCTCTTCAGCAGCTATTACTAAGAAACACATCTGCATTTTACTCTGCAGAGTTTAGAAAAAGGATGTCTAGTTAACAATTCTTTGTTCTCCAGCAGAAATAATTATGCTTACATTTTAGATTTCTATGTGACTTCATTTAGATTTTTTCCATGTCCTGAAATTGCAATCTCCACCACAAATTTCAGGGTTTTGCACACTTGATGGGAATGTTTCCTGTGACTGTGCTCACTGAGAAAACTGCCAGCATCCCTCCATACAAAAAAAAAAGAAGACAAAGTGTAATTCTCAAACACACAGGGGCATTTTGAATCACTCTCTTTTATCAACCTTCCTATTCAGTCTGAATTTAAATCTAGTCAAATGATTTTGCCATACGCAGAATTTTCCCTCTTGCAATCGCTTAATATCCTTAGGTTACTGATCTCTTCCACTTTTCTAACAAAGGTAAGTTTTGCTGTCCCTTTTAGGATATCTGAGGTTTTTTTCCACATAAACATGTGATTTTTAGTATCATATGACCAGACATGGATTTTTGATGTGGAGAATCTGTGTCCTGACAGATGCAAATTGGCATTTTTATCTGCAGAAGTTTTAAGTGCTGGAGATGGGGATTCAAAATGTGTTTGGAGCTGGAAATGCTTTTCCTGCTGCTCACACAAGCATGTACAGATCTCTAGCGTGTGTTCCATTTATCAGCATTACAAAGTGCTTTTCAAGGCAGAATTCTCTTTGGCTGACTCTGCCTTTTCATATGAAGGTGTCTAAAATTAGTAGTGTACATTTGGAAAGTTGAACAACATTTTGATTGAAATTGAGACTTGTGGTTCTAAAAAACAGAAGAGTCATTTAGAATTAGTGTTAAGGAGAACTCATTTCTGTTTTTAAGGCAATTTTTAAATGTGTTTCCTAGGAACTAGCCAGCTGTGGATGGAATAAGAAAGAAAAACACACCCTTGCTCCAAATATTGTTGCCTTTACTAGGAGATTTAACCAGGTATATAATTTGATTACTGTGATGAACAGGTACTGTTTGACAGTTGTCTTTGAGTATAAAGTTAAACAGAACTACTCATGTGAATTAAAACCTGTTTTTCCAAACGAGGATTAAGATTTTTAAATTACAACTCCTGTTTTCAATTGCTTTGTCCACATTTTCATGTTGTTCCTCTAGACCACTTGTTCCTAATTATTAGTTCCTGATTTGTTTTGCTGTGGTGCAACATTAGCAATATTTTTTCTTTTTTTCTGGGTCTCACTTGTGCATTCAGTTATCTTGGTGTTGTCTCACTTCTCTACCTATGCTGGTAATGCTTCAGGCAATTGCAGTGATACAGATGAGAATTCATGGGATCAGAAATCTTTTCTTTCCTTACCCTGTTTTCTTCCTGGAGCATTGTGAGAGTTTGCAAATATTTCATCAAATAGGCTAATAAAGTCCATTTTTTTGGTAATAAATTAAAGTTGTATGTGTTTACCTTATAGGTCAGTTTTTGGGTTGTACGAGAAATATTAACAGCACAGACCTTAAAAATAAGGGCCGAAATACTGAGCCACTTTGTGAAAATAGCTAAAGTAAGTGCAGATTTCTTACACTATCATTCAAAACCTTAATTCCTTCGTGTTTGTTTCTGCACTATGCCTGTGAGCCCTTGTTGGATTGCAGAGGGTAACAATTCTTCTTTTAGCACATCTGTTATGTTGTACTACATGATTAAGATAAAGGAAAGGAACAAGAACTGTTCTTTTCTACTTGGTTAGATGAACCTACCCAGTTTGGTGTGACTCCTCTTGTACCTCTACCTACCAAGTTTAAAAGTGATTTGAGTTGTTGGTGGCTAATTGTGTGTTGACAACATCAAATGTGGTTGTAAATGTTTCTGGTTTTTGTCTCGGACCGTTTTAAAACTTAACTTTTATGAAAAGAAATTCCTTGCTTCTAAAATAGCTATTGTGAGACTTGCATTCCTGCTTGCAATATGTAGTTGCTGGTATAAAGCACTGCTGTTAAAGCTCTGTTATTTTATTGAGTTTGAGCACTGCATTTTACACTTAGCTTTAAAACAAACAAATTTTAAAATATTTATCACTTTCACGACCTGCAGTCATTCTGTTTTATGTGACCCTGAGTGACACAGCACTTGGATCAAAGTCCCAAGTGTGAATTTTGTATGTGTGAAATTGCATATGTGTGTAGGTAATTAAAATAATATTTTCCATGTAGTAGAAAACAAATTTTCTATTGTGCATATTTCCAATCAATATACTTAGCAGTTTTGTACTTTTAGAAGAAAATTTATCTGAGTAAGTTACTGGAACAAAAAAATGGTCCAAGTAATAGGAGAATGTTCGACTTGGAGGTCCTCGGTTGTTCTTAGAAATAAGAGTTGTGTTGTTTGGGCTTTTTTTTAGCCTGCACGAGGGGGGACACTGCCCTCTTTCCTTCTCTTGCTTTTTTACTTTTCTTGCTTTTCCCTCCATAAAGTCCAGATCTTCCTTAAATGCTTCTGAGCAGTGAGTAAATGGATCAGTCAGGGATGAATCCAGCCCCTTATTAAGTTTCACAAAGAAGCTACATGACACAGTTCTCATTTTTGTATTTTACAGTTTTATGCTTGTTGTAGCAAGCATTATCATCTTGACAGTTTTATTCCAAAGTATTTTCTGCCTGAGATCAGTGTGTTTTGAGTCATTGTCAAAACACAGAGTAAATTCAAAATAGATTGAAGTGAGGTAAATTTTTCTTATGCAGCAGATTACAAAGGTAAAAGTTGTGTTAATTCTGAGAGTGTTGTCAGCATCTTCATGTAATGTTTTTGCTTGATTAAATATTTGATTTCTAAAATTATGTTACTTTTTTCAAGAACAATGCATCAAATACTTTTTTCCTTTTTTCTGTTCCTGAAGAAATAGCCTTAGAAAATAACAAATAACTGAAATTAAGTACTGTTTGTATTCTCGAAACTGAAATGCCTATTATATTGATGGGTATACTTGTAAAATTAGCAACTCTTGAAGTGGTCTTAAGAATCTTGCACATGACAGCATTGGGATAATATTTTGTCTGCAGTCATAGATAATTTGTATTTTATTAATGAAAAAATAATGGTTAATTAATGCAACTTTTATATTAATTAATCCTGCTTCCCTTTCCAATATGCTAAAAGCTATTATTCCCTTTTTTCAGAAGCTTCTAGAACTGAACAATCTTCATTCTCTTATGTCTGTGGTGTCAGCACTGCAGAGTGCACCTATCTTCAGGCTGACCAAAACTTGGGCTGTAAGTGTTGCCTTGACCCTTGTCCCTTCTGTCCTGTTTGAATTCTGACGTTCTTTGGAATTTGTCATATTGTAAAATCTAGAGGAATATGCTTTTATGTTCTTGTTTTTGTGGTACTGTAGTAGAAGCAGTGGTCTGTTACATGTTTTGTGAAAAATAGTGTTTTGACTGCATTTATTTTCCTGTAAATTGCCAGTTTCCCTGTGTGTTCTAGAAGCCGCTGGTTGTATGCTCAAGAAAACTTCTGTTGATAAGTAATCTTAGAAAACCCTTGTACAGAACGTGTATCAGTGTCCCCTTATAAAACATAGCATATTATTTAATACATTACCTAAAAGAAAGGAAAAAGGCATGTTACAAGTATACAAGCATTGATGTTGTGATTATTGTGTGATGCATTTCAGTTTTTATTTATGTTAGAAATTAAAAGCATTGATAATTCTATTTTCAGAAATTCCATCTCTGGAAGGTAGAATTTCTTAGCCAAACTTAGAGTAAATTTAAATATTTCTTTAAAGAGGAATACACAACTATAGGTTATTTCTACTCCATGTAATGTTTAACTATACAAAGGTTTGGGTAATTCTCATCCATTCCACACACGATGGATCACATTGACTGTTCAGACCTTATAAGTCTTACAGTTCAGACCTTAAGTCTTGGATAGGTTTATCAAGCTTTTAAAATGCTTGCAACTATTTTATGATTTAATTGCTCAGAATGAGGTTATAATCTAATAAAAAAGTAAATGTCTGATGTTTTGAGCAGCTCGATGAAGCTCAAAATAAATGGGGAGAATTGGAAATAAATAGGGAAGCTGGAAATAAATAGGGAGAATTGCTCATGTGTGAAATGAAGTATGTGACTAATTTGACTTAGACCTAGAGAGGTGCCAGGCTCTTTGTAGGCAGAGTAGTTCAGAAATACAATACATTGCAGGACCTCAAGCAATTCTCAGTGCTGCTAAAAAGAAAACAGCAAAATTATTTTGATATATTCATTTCTATCCTTTCTATGTTATTTTTTTATTAACTAGACTTAAAAGCTAGGCAGTACAAGAACTGGAATTTTCCAGAGGAAAAGGTGTATGAAAGAATGTGCTATGGAGCAGCTGTCTGTTGTCAGAAAGGACACATGCAAGAAGCTGGTGTACAGTGCCATAATTCTCCACTCACTCCTAACTCAACTGGCTTTTAAGACTGTTTTATAAATATTGCTGGGGTTTCTTAAAACAGCTGAAACAGAAAATGTGTTCTTATAGCTATAGTTGTATTTTGTTTGCTTTTCAGCCCCCTGTGACTAGGATTTTTGCATTCTTAAATGTTTTTTCTAGATTTCTGCAATAAGTCTTATAAATTGAAAACATGAATTTAATAGCACAATAATTTATTTTCCATATACTTTTTTTCTGAAAAGTTTTGTCATACTTTTATTAAGGTACTGTTGATATGGCACAGTTTGCATTTATTTAGAGGATTTTCCATTGCTCTTTGTACTCTTAAGTGTAGAGGATTTTTAGCATCTCTGCTAAGTTATGAGAATGTTGGTGACTGTATTATAACATACTTTTTCCTGAGATTATTCAAAACTTACTTAGCGATATGAGAATCACTGACAAATTAGTCAGAAATAGTGGTCATGTTTTTTCATAGCTTAAGACCTACACTAAATGGCCTTTTTTTAAAACAGGTAGCATGTTTTCAAACATTGTGCTGCTTTGGATGATGATGATAAATTTATCTTAACTAGACTGTGTTCTCCTTTACTCTGGGCAATTCAACAAGTTACTGACTGTTGTTTTGTGTGGATTTGTCTTTGAAAATTTTCTGATCTCTATTTTCTCTGTAGCTTTTGAATCGGAAAGACAAGACCACCTTTGAGAAGTTAGACTATTTACTGTCTAAGGAAGATAATTATAAAAGGACACGAGAGTACATCAGAAGCTTAAAAATGGTTCCTACAATTCCATATTTAGGTGAGTGTGAACAATTACCTTATTTATCTGTAGCTCATTGACAGACGAGTGCTAATGTACCATGTTGTGCACCTGAAGAACCCTGTATGTAGAAGAATGGTTCAATACATTTCATATTTGGGAAAATTAGATCAGTTTGAGATTTTTGGGCTATAGATATGTTTACGTACTTTTGGAAGGAGTTTTTCTCTCAGGTGCTGAATAAATATACATGTAATTCAATGTGAAAATGTATTAAAAGGGAGACCTGCAATTAAAATGCTGTCCAGCCTTGATATTGTCTCCTTTTCTTCTGTGGCATGCACAGAGTAGCCATTTGATGAATTGGTTTTTTGGTTGGTATTTCACCTAGAAATATTTCTGCAGAAAGGTTATTGTTAATGAAGTAGTACAATATAATGAGCTATTTTCTGGCTTTATTAGTGATTTAGTCAGATGCTAAACTGCAGCTAAAAAGAATAAATGTTTTTAAATTTATGACCCTGGGTAACAAGAGATCAAAAATTCTGCTTAGCCTTCCTGTGCCAGAATTGCTATCTGTATTGCTAACCCCTAATGCCTCAGTAGATTTATCTTCTGTGAACATTTGCACTCTTGCTTTAAGCACACATAAACTTGCATGTGCAACACCCAGCTGGCAGGATTTCTTCAACCCTGTCCAGTACCACATTCTTTAGCTTGAATTGAACATGGTAACTTTTACCTTCGGTAGATAAACCCTACCTTGTTCCTTACACAGCTTGAGACTACTCCTGACATTATGGACTTCAGTCATTATCTGTTGCCTTCACAGTAAATCTTCAATTACCTCTCTTCCAAAAGGAAGAGTCCTTGGATTACTTGATCATGTCTTGTACAGATGCCACTTGGCATCCTTGACAACTTGCCTGGGCAGCGTTTCAGTCCTGTATCCTTTTTTTAGGGGAAGAGGGTGCACATGAAGTGTACTGCCTGCAAAATTTAAGATAGAAATGCAGGTTATATTTTATACAGTTAATTCAGGAAGCTTTTATTTAATAAAACTGACCACCACTCCTAATGGTCATACTTTTAAAACTGTGTTGGAAGCTTGGTATCAGTTACTGAAACTGCTTTGTAAATAATTTCAGATTTGAATGAATATTTAGCTTATCAAAAGAGAATATTCAATTGAGACTCGTTTCAGTGAATAAATGTCTTCGCAAGGAAAGACAGCATTACTTACAGAACAGCTTCTTTATTTTGTGTAAATGAACAAGTAGATCAATAGATGACTTTAGGAGTAACTACTGAATATAAAACAACTGAATTGAGAATTACCAGGAGTGAGGATTTGCAGAGTTCTTGGGAATCCTGTTTGATGCTGTAGAGCCTCTTCTCTCACTGCAAGAAATTTACATGGTTGTGAGAGAAAGGTTCTTATTTCATTTGTGGAAGCCTGACATTGTTTGATATGAGCTAGAGGACATACTGGGAAATTAAAATTGCCACTGAAGTTTTCCAGTTACTCTGGTTTATAGAATTAGCTCACAGTCGTGTGTAAGAATTGTTTTAATACTACCCAGGTATTACAAAATCACTCCAAGCCACTTTTATACAAGATTTAAAATATTTCTGAAATGAATATGTGTATTACAAGCCTAATAAAAGACTTGGGTAATGAAAGAAAAAAATCTGCATGTTTCCTTCCTAGTCCAGCTTGAATCTGAAATTCCTGCTGGTCTTTAGCCAATCTCCTTGAGACTTTGAATTCTCCTGCATATGTTGTATCTTGTTTCATATGAGACCCTCTTCTTGCTGATGGCAAAGACTAGGCAGTATTGCTCTTCTTGTAAAGTAAGGCTTTCCCTGCATTCTGAGAGGTGCAGCTGGACATTTTGTGTAACCAGATGAATACAGGAGACAACTACTGTTTCGTTTCCAACCTCAGGCTATAATATGAGAGACTAGTATTTACTGTGTTTAAAAGTACCTGTTAAACATCCAGCAGTTGTTTTGTTTTCAGACAGGTCTTTCAATTTTTAAAAGGGAGTGAGAAAGAAAGAAAAAAACAAATCATGAGATTGGCAAGGCTATGATGTGAGCTGTTGGAAGTGTTTAGCCACAGTGCGATTTAGGAAAAAATAGCACTCACATTGTTTTGAAAATTCATGGCTGTAATTGCTTGTTATAGTGTTTTCTTGTCTTCACTGCTGGTGATCTTTTAGATTGTCTCTCTATGTCACAGAACAAAGAAAGTTGGGTATGATCTTATAATCTATAATTTGTTGCACTGTTTGCTTCTTTTCCACTTGGAATGTAACAGTGGGGGTAATTATGATAACTTTGAATGATAATTGAACAGTTTCAGGAAAGAATTTTTTGGAAATGTGTATACAAAAGAATAACTAATTGTCTTCTCAGGTTACATCAATCTTGTGACAGCCTTTTGTCTAAATGCTATAGGTGGAGCCCCATTGTTTCATTCCTGATACATAGATAATGTATTAGTTTGACAGCATCTTCTTTACACTTCTGAAAAAGGTAGAGATATTTCAAAAATTCAGAAGAGCAATGTCAGTTTCCTATAGCACAGCTTGAAATAGAAATTTACAGGAGAATTGCAGTTGCTAGGGATCTTCTCTATAGGGCTGCAATTTCTCTCTTGCATAAAGTCACCAAATGGGCTTTTGCTAATGATAGGAAAGTGTATGGTATGGGATTTTTAGACTGCAGGGTTGCCAAAGGTGTACATTTGGGGAGCAATGAAGTAATGTAATTGAAAACTTTGGAAATAATTAGGGAAATGGGAAAAACTAAGGCCTTTCACAGTTTGTAGTAATGTCATCTACTACAGTAGGTGGACCTAGTGCACCTGTTGTGTATGTTTTTTGGTTTTTTTTTTTAAATAAGCATAGTGAAATCTGTAGTTCTGCCAGTGTACTTGCCAATAACTTCACAGTATAAGTTCCAAATCCCTAATGTTTAATTACTTTTGATGTGCCAGGCTCTGTGTTTAAAATGATTTTATGCAAATATACTAATTTTATGTAAAAAGTTTATAAGTTCTTTTCTCACATATGGTATCTCTAGGTAATCATGGATTGCTGTGCATTATCTTTTTTAATTACATGGATGAGTATCTAGGTAAATGACTCACCTTTTAGGTAAAAGGTTAAGAAATATTATTATTTTAACAAAAGACTGTCAGCTTGAATGCGGGTTTAAAGCCTATTTTGAGTGTATACTATGAAGATGCATTTCCAGCCATATCTCCAGCTACAGAAGAGCAACTGTAATAGCTTTTCTAGTGGATGCCTCATCTTGAGATCTGCACAGTGGATACCTGAACTTCTCTGTGTTCTTTCCTCAAGGCAAGCATGAAGTAGCCTTAATGCTAGTAATTGTAAGAGTATTGCAGCCAGGCTTTAGGGCCAGTAGGTGCATTTAATATTTCTAATCTAAAATACAAATCTTTTCCAGAATTGAGTAGATAACCCCATGGAAGATAAAGCTTGAATACTTTTTGGAAAATGTGAGTGTTTCATATAACCCTCAAAAAGTTGCTCCTCCTTGGGCTGTGTGGAAATTCTGTATTTTTTTCAGGTGAAAATTGTTCTGCTTTTTTATGTTACAATATTTCAACACTTCACACACATCAACAGTGGTTGCATACAGAGTTTGTTTGAATCAGAGGCAGACTATTGTGTAGTAGTCTGAACTACAACAAGATGAAATCTCAACATGTCAAAATAACATTTGGTACTTTATTAAGGGTTACAATATTACAGGGGTAATCTAATATATTAAAAACCCTACTTTGAGTTATATACAGCACATGCTACATCACACATCATACTGTGGTAAAGATGTGATGAGGTAATAAGGGAAAAGTATGCAAACACACACAAACACTCAGTGTCATACAGGTTGACCAAAATATATGTTGAACTTCTAGAGGCTTTCACTCTGCCTCTTTTATGCATTCTTTAACTTGTATTTTTGTAGTAGTTTGTTTGTTTGTAATGGGTGTGTTGACAATGTGTTACAGAAACCTATCTCAGAAGAATATTAGAATTACTCCAGTCTGTATTTCATAAGTATGACTGACCTCTAAATATGAGTAAATCTGTTTAATAATTTGACAGTAATAATTGTGAAATATGTTTAAAATAACTTTTTTGCTATGGATAAGTTCTCTATATAATTTTTTATCTAAAGGCTAAGGTTATTAAATAGCTTATAAATTGGTATCCATCATTTGCCTGCAAAGTTGGATAGACCCTTTAATTTATATCCAGCCATTTCTGAATATAGAGGCTACACAGCAGGTAATCACTGAAGTCGGGTACAAAATACCGTAACAGTTGTGTAGTATAACTTGTTGGCTATAGAGCACAGAATACCTATTATAAATCTGGATTAATTTCCATATGTAAGTAGCTACTTCATTTTGGTAAGAAATACTTAATGCTTTTAATCTAAAATATTTGAATTAATGGTGAACTTTTGTAGGAGCAGATTATTTAAATGCACATAGGGAAGGGAAAAGGCCAGATTTATCAGGACAATAATGGTTTGAGTATCTGCTCTCAGAACAGAATTATGTAGTTCTAACTTTATTCATGGTAGTTAACAAAGATTACATAATCATTACACTAATGTACATATACCAGCTACCTAGTTCAAAGGATATGATTCCTGTGTCAAATGATTGCTTATAATAACAATAATAATAATAAAACTCTTACTGTACAGTTTGTAGTATTTCCTGTATTTGAGAATATTTATACATAACATACAAAAATACTTAAATGTGGTGACAATATTTTTATCATCCAAACTTAATTTACAGGGAATAAAAACCAGGAAGTTTATCTACAGTTTTTATCTAAACTGCAAGTTCCAATAGGACCAAGAGGTGTTCTGAATGTTATTACAGTTCCTTTTCTTCAGCTCTTTTTCTGGGGATGATTCTTGAAAATATAATATACAAGCCCTCATACCTTATCAATAAATGTACAGTATCTTACATTCCTCAT